AAGATTAATGTCATGTTTGAAATGTGCAAAGGATTTTCTTACATAAATTCCAATCACCTTTCTGAAAAAGTGGAAACTTAGCAGGTGCGAATATGATGTCGGCCAGTAATTTTGACGGATGAAATGGCCTAAAATATAAATATAAAATAAAAAATTTAAATATGAGGATTTATATTTATTTATTTGTACACATACATTTGTAGTTATGTTTCGCGTGTGTATGTGCTTGTTTTTCCGTTTACCCAAATCTTCAAATTTCAACTTTGGTATTTCATTTTACTATGGAGATGTATTGATATCGTTAATGTGATGAAAGGATGCCTTGTATGTGTATGTGTGAAAATATTTCAAGTCCGCAAGCGAATAATTTTGTGATAGACGTGGCATGTTAAATCAGTGAATGATTTAGTCAATGGCCTTCCAGGTTAAAAACCTCGAAACCACGTGACATTTTAAGTGTTGAACAACAGCAGCAACGAAATATGGCCAACAAAAAACCACCAGTTATTAGTAATGAAGAAGCCAAAGGAAATGAGCAAAGTTTTGTTGAACTCGTTCAAAACGATCTTGAAGTAGTACTCGAACGAATAAAGTTTGCTTTTCTTGCTTATTTCTGATGGCATTGCTAATTCTCCATCATAAATTTTTTTCTCAGACTTCCGTTCCTGTACGTTAATTGGTATATCATAAACAAGAAATTGACATAAAAACCAAGCAAATAGAGGAATATGGATTGAGGTGCTAGAAATCTTCATATCCAATTTTGATGTACCGTGATATATCAACTTCGAGATATCGTTATATGTGTTCTAGAGCGTTGCGAAACTTTTTAATTCCTTGTTTTTTTTTTGTATCCATTAAGACTAGCAGGCAGTTGTAGGAGAAGGTGTAATGAAAAAACCAGAACTCATATTAGTCATATGAGTGGATGGAATTCAAGAAGTATCATTTTTTTCATTTTCACTTTAAAGTTCTCTTCTTCTAGATCACCAGATATTGATATGCAACGGAACGGAACATCAACCACTGTAACTGTCAATGTGGAAGAAGATAAGCCACTTGCAGATGATATTTCGTTATTTGATGAACTTGAAAACCACTCATTAAAGAATAGATCAATTGATCTGGAAAAAATGTGTCCAAACCCAGAGGACAACCGAAAGCTGAGTAAGTTATAAGAAAAGGATTGACACATTAAATAAATATGCTAAACAATAAATTAATTAGCAAATTTGTTTTTTCGCTTCACGTGAATTTTGTAATCATTATTACTATCTCATAGAGGTAGACTTATAACCAGACCGCATGCATGTAATACGGTTTTTCTTTTTCAATATAAAGTTTAGTTGGAACCATACTTTACTTTGATGTGTTACCGTTTCAGTTGGACAGTTACCACAAGCAGTACTTTTAATAACAAACTTGAAAGAAGTCGAAGTACTGAAACATTATCCACATTTAGGACCTGGCGGACATTGGAAACCGGAAGATTGCATTACTGAACATAAAGTGATTTTTTGATGTACCATTTTAAAGTTTTAGTTGATCAAAAGAGAAATTTAGATTTGAACATTTGAGGAGCATCTTATGCACTTGTTTTTGTTTTTCCTTATAGATTTCACTTTTTAATGGCTTTCTGCTAATTGTAAAGAATTTTAATGCGATATGGAGAACTAAATATACATAATTTATTTCAAAACTTTTTATTTTGAAATTTTTAGCGTAATATGTGTATTTTTTGCCTAAATGGAAATCAGGTCTTTTAGAATGAAAGAACTGCTTCTTGTCTGTACTTGCTTCTGTAGAATTCCTCAAAACTTACATCCATTTCTTTCAGATAGCTGTGATAATTCCATTTCGAGACCGTCAAACACATTTGACACGTCTTATTGATTTTCTTATTCCAGTCTTTAGAAGACAACGATTGGATTTCCGATTCATTGTAACAGAACAGGTGTGAGAAGTAATAAAAGCTAACACAAATGCTTATTCGGTCTTTAAAATTTTTAGAAATTTCAAAATATTCCTGCAGCATTGTCACAGATTTTCTTAATTTTTTAAGTCCTGCTGTATGTTTTTTATGTTAATAAAGGAGTCATTTAACTTCATTCCATTTGATTCCTTTGTTAAATAGGTCATTACGCTGATTTGATTAAATTGACTTGTAAATAAGATTTTTATTTGTTGAAATAAGTTCCGATATTTGTGTGAGTTGATTTTCAGTATGGTAATGATCTATTTAACAAAGGACGAATAATGAACGCAGCATTTCGCTTGGCCGAACGTCTCGATGTCAGCTGTGTTATATTTCATGATGTTGATATGTTCCCACAGGACGATCGTAATTTTTACGGTTGTCCATCAACACCACGCCACATTGGTGCTTTTGTTAGCAATCTTGGATATCAGTGAGTTTTCAAGTACAATTTATTTTTATTACGCAATTCTGGTAGTTTCCAGTTTATTCTCCAAAAATCTTATTTCAGAGTCCCTTCATTTTCCAAGAATTTTGTTCCGTAGTTTAGTCTGACACCCAATATTTTTGCTTATACTTTATTAAGATTAGTACGAAGCGTTTAATTTCAAAACAATATCTAAAATTTCCAGAATCAGAAGTGAACATTGGTCAATCTTTTTCTTTAAATTTTGATTTCACTTAGCGTAATTATTTCTGTAAGCAATGGTGTTAATATTTTTTTACTCTCTAGTATCTTCCACACGAAAGGATTAGCATTATGGTTTGCTTTTAAGATCAAATAGCTATTCCATGTCAAAGCTTATAATGTCTGGCTTCTGAAAAAAACATGCACGTAGTCTTCTCTATGATTCGGTATGACAAGAATTATCATTTGTAGATTATGGTATAAAGAAATAGTTGGCGGCGTTCTAGCAATTAGCATGCATGATTACCGAACAGTAAATGGTTATTCGAATATGTATTGGGGTTGGGGTGGTGAGGACGATGATATGGGTTAGTTCCAACATTGTTTTTGTCTCATTATCAATCCCTGAATTTTTAAAATGGTTTATGGATTTGAATTGGCGGCAGCATTCATGGTTTTGTGGACGATTAAACTGCTGATATTGGGAGCCTTTTTGAAGTGGCTATTGCATGACGTATTTTTAAATGCAGTCGCATTGCAAAAGAGCGTATTATGACAAAAACGGATCACTTATATGTGTTTATCCATCAAAAATGGTTATAAAATTTAATGAAATATATAAAAGGAATCAGCTCTATATGTGCTTTAACTTATTTTTACAGGGAAACGAATAATGGCTCAAAACATGACCATTGAAAGGCCTGATGCTACAACAGGTCGATTTACTATGCTCAAACATGTGAAAAGGAAACGAGTTGCACCAAAATTAGTGTACGTTTCTGTATCGTATCTTTTCCCATCGGCATGTAATCTATTTTTTTATTCACTTGAAAATATGGAAATTCCGAATCAAATTCAGATCGACACTTGTTGTTATCAGGAAACGATATAATTGGCGATATTGGATCTTATTTCCCACATGATTATCTAGGATATTTCAAATATTTAAGTTTGCCATTTATAAGTAAATTAACTAACACATTGCTTATTATCAAAATATGATATTATCATCTTAAGTCGTGGCTCACTGACAAAAACCGGTAGATATATTCAGCAAACTAAAATTCGATCTTTTTTTACAGATATAAATTGTTAGGTGAAGCTGAAACACGCTATCGGACTGATGGTCTAAATGTATCTGCGTGGAAAATATTAAAGGTTATTTCATGGAAAATATTTTTAATTTCAGAAAGTTAATTAAATATGGATTTTCTTATCATTTTCTTATCATTTCTTTTTAACTTTTTTATTTGAACGAAGAGTTTTCATTCCATGATTTCAAAAAAGTTGGCAGTCGAGTTGGAATTTGTTATTCCTTTTCGTTTTGAATTCTGATTAGGAATCTTGATTAGAGTTTGATTCAAAGATTAACAGTTTTTAATTTTTCAGGTTACGCTGCGGCCGTTATATTATCATATATATGTTGATGTTGGCAAGCCGCCATCAGATTGGGTATGAAAGTTTTTAGTGCTCTACAATTTGGAAAATTTTTTCATTTTATGAAGTTGTGGTCTTGAAAAGATTCGATTCTGCTCATTTTATGTAGAATCTCATGGTTGTTATATAAATTATATAAATGCTCAAACCTAAAGATAGCCAATTTTCCATAGAAAAATTCAGTAAAAACTTCTTTTGAAAGCAAATTTCCGTTAGACTTTATAGAGTCTGACTCGTCCTTTTTTCAAAGCAGTTTTAAACTTCAGAAAAAACCGCAGGCTAAAGAATTATTTTATTTCTCGGTTAAGCTTGCTGATGAATTCTTATCTAATCCAAATCTTCGTCATATTTTTGTTCCATCATGTGTATCTTCTTTCCAATGCCAAATCGCCTTGGCACTCTATCTTCTGAACGATTGATGATTACGATTACTTTTGTTTGAGGGCGCTGTGTTTCCCAACTGTTTTTCATTATTGTTGGTACCATTTCATATGATTTCCGAAGTATACATGTTTGCTTAAATTAAATGGTTATTTGTGAAAGATCTGAAGGCTTTGTTCAGAATTATGTGTGTCTCGAGTATAATAATACGGCTTATATAAGGACCAAACTTTAGTCATTTCAATGTACGCATGATACTAGTCCTTTCAAATGTCTCATACTTAATTTTGTCGTTTCCTCTGCGACATACACTGTAAAACGTGATAATACCTCTATTTTCTAACGTGTTCAACTCGTAAACATGCACATAGTTTCAACTATCTTCAGCCATCCCATAATTCTAGGCTATGTAAATGTATTTTTTATTTACAGTAAAAATTTGTGGTAACTCTATTCTTAAAATAGCCAGTACTCTAATGTTCAATCTCGGTTTTTGTCGCAGGCAGAGAAGCACTCCTCCTCCTTATCAATAATTTGAGTATTTATTATGTTGTTTATCATCAGCTCGATAACTCCATGATTTATATATTTTTGATTTTTTACTCCTTCCAATGTATTCTTGATCTCACATGTATAATTATTGCCCTTACTTGTAGGTCATTTCGATTCAATTTTTCACCCTGGAATACTCACATTTCAGTTCCATTTTTATCATTTGGGAAACGATCTTGGCTTGATGGACTGAGTATGCAAGAACAGTGAAATAAGTAATGTACCTTAAAAGATATTTTACAGAAAAGGTGATGATTCATCTTCCCGATTTTTGTTAAATTCTTTAAGCTTCTGTTATTGATGACAGCGTGTTTACATTACCATAGCGATAATTCACTTCCGTATATTGCTGGGAAACAGAAGGTTGTTTACTGTTTGTCACTACCAAACCATGCACTTACCGAATGTAGAATCTAATCCTCCTATTTTTCTCTTCTTTCCATAAAATAAGTTTAATAACTCTTTTTATCTTAAAATTCTGTAACGTTGAAATTTTTTTGTAATTTTATGTAAATTCTGATCCAAATGAATAGTAAGTAAAATGTCCTAGAATGTGATAAAATAAAACATCGATTTATTTTTTATTATCGATGTAACACATGATATTATTCGTTATCCCCTTTTATTATTATTAATATTTAAAGCCTATTTATGTTTATAGTGATGTTTAAGAACTTCAAGCTATTTTTAAGTCTGTCAGATTTCAAAATTCCCCTTTCTATGTACCTCGTGCATTGATGTAATGAGGACATAAAATTTAACGCACAAAAGTATTCCATTATTTTACATCTCTGTATTTTCTTCCGCATTTTGCTGTGGTTTGAACTACCACGTATATTCATCTTAGGATTGGCATTTTTGAAAGTTATTTGTAAAGAAAAACTGCAACCGTAAGAAGTTCATATGATTTTTATGGATATGCAAAATTTGTGCATATAGATTTGTTGATTAATTCTTAGTAGTTTCGGTTTCCTTTTTTGCTATGAAATTTCAGATAAAGGATACAATTATTAGATACGAGAATATTCATCATTCTTTGTTTATGTTTTTTCGAAGGTTTAAATTTCCGAATATGTCAGAAACAAACTGGGGTTAATCATTTATGAGACTACTATTTCATTTCTGCCAAAACTGAGTTGATTGTTCCAGGTTGATAATGATAATTATTAATTAACAAATCATCTTCATCCGCTGGTTGATTTTTTGATGAGTGTTAATTTGAAGTTAACTTCTTGCCAATAAAAGGATACTTATACCAGCAAAAAAATGGTCCACTTTCTTGTGATGCCCTATATTTCAACTTGATTGTATTTCTACTTGATTCTACATGTCATAGTACCTAATATCACGGCTCGTCTTGTAGGAGTTTGATTTTTTTCTTTTTCATTTTTGTTAAATTTGGTTAAATTTAGGATATTATTCCAAATTTTGTCCCATTGCACTGTTTGAATATGATTTGTAAGCACGGAACCATTTGAATTAATGTTTTGTTTATTGTTATGAGTTATTGTTTTTATAAGTTAATGCAAAATAAAATCACAGCAGTGAGATTTTTCTTTCATTTTATTAAATCAGAATTTTAAGAATTCTCATATCTCTCATTTAATTCGATGCGCTTATCCCACATATCTTCCGGTATATCATTTGGAGAAATATTGATGATGACAACAGTCTGGTGAATATCAACCTATCAGTTTAAGCTTTCTTTTATTTTTCATTATAATCTATTACCGCAAAAAAGAAAACAGTTTCGGAAAAAAATCTCGAATGAGAGAATTAAATTAAGGTTTTGAAAGGTACGCGAAGCATTAATTTTCAACAAAAATTTCATTTTTCCAAAACTTTCTCAAATAATAAGAACAGTTAGGAGGAGGTGAGATATCATTTTACTGATATAGATGATTAATATATAGTGCAACTTAATTTGTGATTATACTATTAGGTTTCACTGAATGAAATAGCTTTCTCGAAATTTCGAAAAAAATCTCAAATTAATATTCCAAGAAATGAATTGTATATTGAAGGTCACTAAGTCACACGAAATTCATCAGTCAAGTTTCATTTACTTAAACTGATGATTATCATTAGGCTTATCTGTTGTTTATTTGATTGAAAATTTGATCTGAATAAGTTTATTTTGTCTCTTTATTGTCAATAAGCTTAGATATAATATTTAAAAATTCTTCTGCTAAAACAATTTTTCATCCGAGAACTGTAATATATAGTGCTGAGTGAATTATTTAAGATATAGATCCATTTGGTATAATTGATAAGAAAGAATAAAAAAATATTTTATATGAAATGTAAATTCTAGCATCCTAACGATATCTTCACTAATTATCACAGGGAATCTTTATCAATAATCATAATACTCCATTGGAAATCATTATTTAACGAGATATGTAAATTCTCGCTAAGATTTTGTAAATTAACTTCAGAATATTACATCCAAAATTTGCTTGTTGTTTTTTTCGCAATATAAGAGAGAATTTAAATTGAATTGTTTTATTTTCTTTTTTCTCAATATTCCGATTTTCAATATTCCGCTATCTCAATATTCCAATTTTTCTTTGCTTTCTTTTTCTTTTTTCGAAGCTAATTATGCAACTGAAACTGATTTATTCTTAATTTCAAGTCATATTTACATGTAATTAATATTTTAATTAGAAGATAAAACAATAAAAACAGCGATGAATCGTCATAGTATTGCTTTCATTTAGTATTCGTAATATTACAATAGTTATCACTTTGCAGAATTCTCCGAAATTTTTTGATGATTTTTATCATTAGTATATTGTAATGATAATATATCTCTTAACATAGCACAATTGTTTTCAGTTAAGGAGTATCGGAATTAAATTTGCTATCAGATTAAGGACTCTAATTTTTAATGACTAACGAAAAATAGTTGCTTTCGTGGCTTATCATAACCAAAAGAATTAGGTCTAGAATTCAAAATGGATACGTCAGTAATCTCAGTACAATTGCGGGAAGATGAAATTTTAACGCAATTCTCAAGTGATCCGTCTAATTGTCTTCTGATCATATTACATATATATTTATGCACTTCGATAGTACTTTAATTTTTGCCATTTATAATATTAAATTGAAAATTTACAATTTTTCTCTATATGACATAAACTTAATGTCAATTCAATGCGATTTTGCATAAGCGAAGAAAATAGTTCTTCCACGTTGCATTCACGTCTTTTTACGTCCAATATAAAAACGACGATGATAACGGAAATTGTCGGAATCACGAAAGCTAATGTGATTAATGGTAACTTTTCTTATTAAATGATAAGAAGTTTTAAATTGTCGTAATAATAACACTAATAGACATATTTATTTACTTTATTCAGATTACACTTAGTTGTAGTCTATCCATACCCATATTATAAGTAATAAAAAACGTTGGAAAATAACGAATATTCATTAAGAAATTAAAATTCCTCTACTTAATAATTAGCATGAAATCATTCAATGTGCAACTCTTAAAGCATTTCTTATTAAATGATAAGTATTCTGATAGGATTAGCTTTTTGCAACTTTTCGATTTTTATGCAAATTTTCATTTTTTTTCTTATCTTGAAACTTTTTATTGATGGAGATATCATTTATGTATAAAGAAGATGCGAACGCAACTTTCATACAGATGGTGCCGCCAGCGAATTAATTTTTTAGCTGTAATTGAACTTGGCTATCATGCATTGTTGCTCACTTATTTTAGGAACAGATATGTAATATTTCGTAATTAAAATTTAAAAACAAATCTATTTTTTAGATTGAATTTAAAATCTTTCTCTTTTTAAATTAATAAATAAGTAAAGTAAAATGTTAAGTGATATTTGATACCTGTAGACAATTAATATTAAATGATATTTGATACCTATACACAATTAATGTTAAATGATATTTGACACCTAAACACAATTATCATGTATTTATATATGTGATAATTGTGTGTAGTCAAAAATTTATTACATTTGAACATAACTTATGCGAGGTTATTTGTTTTTTAAAATACTAGGATTTCTTCAATCTATCATGATGAATCTTAATTCTGAGATAATTGCAACATCTCATATCAAAGAGATAATCAATGTATCACTAATAAATTAACTTACTCATTTCAGACTAATTTAGCAATTTCAGGTATGCTAGTGGTGCACTTGAAATTCGTTCATACTGTTAACTGTTTTTCCAATGAATTTTAGGGTTGAGAAGGTGATGATGGTGATGATGATATATAGGGTTAAAATCTCCTGTATTCAATGAATTCGCATTTTTTTACAACCAAGAATTAATCATTCATTAATTTGCGTCTTTTTTTTTAAAATTTATTTTCCATTCGGAATACACTGATATGCTTTCGGATATTTCATTCAAAGATGATAAGATTAATAATTAATTATTATCACCGAAGCAAAATTGATAACATTATATGGAATATTCGATAATTTTGTACGCATACATAAATAATGCTTTTTTCAAAAGTAAATCATCAAAATTAAATTGAATGACTAATTTTTCATTCTTCTTATCTCATCCATTCTAATATTACAATAATAGCATGAAGAAATGCAATCTTTTACATTTACAACTTTTTAATAAGAAATGATTTTTTTTTAATTTATAACTTTTTAATTAAAAAACATGAAGCAATAGGAAGACAATTGTATGTTAATTAATTATACTAAATAAAAAATGATGAAAATAATGAAGAAAATGAGAAAAACAATAGGAAAGAGTAAGCGTGAAACAAGATCAATGCCATGATTGTGCTTGAAATTTGCACATTTCGTATCATATGCAACTTCTACTGTCTGAAAAAGAACAAATGAATTATCGAATAGTTGTCAGAATTATTAATATATTTAATAATAGTTATTGACTGTCATTAATTCATTACTATAGATTGTTGTAACTTTTCAAATTGTTTTTGCAATTAACTAAGAAGAAAGATTAAATTATTATTCTCATTTTGATATGATTAAATTAGAAATATATGGAATAAAGATCTTTTATGAGAGATTAAAAATTTCATGATGCTATATTAATTGTATAATATTAATTGGTAAAGTAAGAAATAGATAAAGTTAAATGAATGAGAAGAAATGAATTACTTCTCTAGTGACAGTAAGAGGTGATTCATCATCTTTCATCTTTCCATTTCTGTATCGAATGGTCCTTCTTATTCCACAGCATATAACGATGAAATATTCAACCAATGATGCGAACGTCAAAAAAAGGCAAAAAAGAAGCCATATTTGTAAGCTATTGATACCATATGTTGTTAGATGAGGTTGCGGAGAGAATATCTATAATAAATTTCTTAATGATAAGTATTTAAAGGTAATCCATTCAATTTATTGGATGCAAAACAGCACAAGTTCATTATTGGATATTTATTTTTAACCTGATTGTTATGATATTTATCAGTTTGTAAATGTAATCTTAAATATTATCTAATGTAAGTTTTCATAAATATCTATTGCAATCACTAATTGCAATTATGATAACATTCTTCGTAAAGATTATAATGATAGCTAATAATCAATTAAAATTAACCAAAATAGAAACAAAGATGAAGAATGGCACCGCAGCGCTAATTGTTCGTGGAACTGACCATGAACCATGAACCCAAAAATGAAGCCATGATGCGAATATCTGTAAGAATAATTTCATTTAAAGAATATATATATATATTTATAATTAATGATTCAATTTCTCACTTCAACATTCATGTAACCATCAATTGCTATTAATTATTTCATAAAATTAAACATATCGGACAGTTTGAGACTTTCGCATAAACTATCCATTAAGGTATAATAATAATTATTATAGAAGTAATAATTGATGATTTAATTTTTGAATTCAAATTTCTAATTGTTAACTTTATTAATTTGATTTGTAACGCTTACCAAAAGTATTGATGGAATAAAAATACGCCAAAATACTTCAGATGAAGCACCAGTAAATGTTATGAGAACATCGATACAAGAATATGTACCTAAAAAGGAATTGTAAGTATTTTATTTCTCATCTTTTCCTTATTATTTTAAATAAGCAATAAGAACTTCTTATTTTAAATGAAAAAATATTGACCACGCTAAATTGAAAATTTCAACGAAGCAATTTTACTTTCATTAAGTAATTACACGTTTGATTTTCATTAAATGATTGCACGTCTGCAAATGTCTCACGTCTGCATTCACGTATTTTAAAAAGAAAACAGGAAAAGATTTTAATGTTTTAAACAATGTTTTCCATGCATATATTAGAATAATTAAATCTATCAGTAACTAGCGGTGTTATTTCTGTTTCCTCATTACCTTCAACATTCATTTTACCTATTTTCCTATTTTGAAAAGCATTAAAATCATATTCAATCGAAGTAAAGAAAATTTTTTCAAACATCTAAGAATTCTCTAAAATTATTCATTTCAAAAAATTTTATAATTTAGGTCAAATGAGTGAATTCAGAAAATTCGGTAAATTTTAAAATAAATATTGGTAAAATTGCAAGAAATAAAGTAAGCAAAGAAAAAGAATTTTACAAAAACTTTAAAAAAAAAAGCTAACCGAATGTATAATTACCAACGCAATCATCAGCTATAGCTTCTTTAAATTCATAAAAACCGCTCAACAATTCTTGTGATACTTCAACCGGTGTCACAGTTGGCGGTGAATTTGCCCATAAATAGACAACATCTTGAATTGAATATTTATCTGTAAAAAGTAGAAGTTAACAATTGAACGGATAGATTAAGGTGAAATTTGTTGTAATATAATCAAAATACTTTCAAATAAAACTATCAATTAATATTTCAATTTTTTTTCATATATCAAATGTTGTAGTAAGAGATAACAAAACATATCCTTTGGTTGATATATATATCTCTCTGCAACATATGCGCGGAATGATTAATTATCCTTTCTATCATGTATATAAGATAATGTATGATATTTAATACATAAACGATATAAATTAATTCATTTGTTTCACTTATAAAGAATGATAAAATTATTATAAATATTTGATATAAAACTTTATCATTATAAAATTATAAACTTCCTCAAATATATTATAAAACTTCTAACAAACTTCCTCAAAATAATTTTATTCATTTAACATATAGATTAAATTTCGATACATTAGTAAATAAATGATTGTAAAAATTTTGATAATTTTTTCTAATTAAAGAAGAAATTACGAATCATTTATTCTAAACATCTTTTTATTAAATATATTGAAGATGAACTTACAGCTTGATAATCGTAATTTAAACATTCGAGTATTTTCAAAGGGATATTTGGAGCTATATTCCACTGGTACTGTCACTGTACGCCTTTAATTATATTATAAAAAAAAAGTTAAAATAATAATAATTAATAATTGGAGCATATTTAGTAAGATCTATTATTAGAGCTCTGTCATTAAAACTCTTATAACAGTAAAATATATGATGCTAAGTAAATGAAAATTTATGATGGATGTTTTTCGCTGAATTATAATAATTTTCTCAAATTATATTTAGTAGTGAAGAAAGTTGTCAATTAATAAAATTTTAAATTATTTAAATTTATAAGACTTTTTTGTTCCCAATCATTTATTTAAATAAATAGGAAGGAATGATTAAAATTATCGATTGAGTGCTTTAATTTTCTTTCATTGAAAGAAATTAAAAATTTAGAGAAACTTTTCGTAAGCATATAAATGATATTATATATTAGCATTAATAATTGTTACTTATAATATATACTATTATATTCTAATATACTTTAAAATAATTGTTGCTTCAATTTTATCAATGTATTAAATGAGTAGGTTAAAATTTTGCTATATGATAAAAGTTATAGATAGAAGTTGATCAAAGTTGCTTAGCAAAATGATGCAAAACTTTCGAAATTTCTCGAATTAAATATTTTGTTATTTTGCACTTCCCTGAATGAAATTAATTTTGCTATTAAAAAAAAAACAATGGAAAAACAATGGTAAAGATTCCACCTGACATACATAAAAATAGCAATTCGTCCTGCTCAGTAGTTTTATTGCTATATGAAAAAATGTTAAGGAATGAAAAATGAGATTATATAAGCAAAGCTCATTATCATTTCAGGCTCTAATTTATTGCGCTCATTTATTTCAGACTCTAATTTATTGTGCTCATTTATTTCAGGCATTGAAATTCTAAATCTAACATTTAGGCTCAATAATGTTTATTTTCGATTTTCATTATCAAAATTTTAACGAAAAGTATTTCGTTACGTGAAAATATCTGTAAAGATCTGTAGTTAACTAATTAAGTAACTAACTAATTAACTGATTCTCATCATTCATTAAAAATTGAAAAAAGCTACTGAAATATAAATAAAAATCAAAATAAACATGTTGAAGTTTGTTTGAAATTATTCAATTTTAAGCTTTTAAAAAAATGATAATAGTTAATTTTAGTGATGAAATAAATAGATAAATATTAATCTCAAATATATTGTATCATTTTTTTTTTGAGAAATTTTCATAAAATTTGAAATTATTGCAAAGAGACAATAACATTTCGGAAGATCGGACAAATCCAGTTGGTTCTACAACTGCCCGATGGCGTTCGCCATGATTCACATCACGACCATTGGAGAAATATGTATCAGGTATCCAAATATGCTTATTGTGCGGCACGACCACCTCTTCAATTCCATCTCGATCGTCAACCTCATATACAAGTCGGCCATCTTCCCATTGCTGGCGTAGGTATAAATCAACAACCTGAAATAATGAATAAGAAGACAAATTTTTATTACATCAATAATTTTTCATTAGAATTTAGAAATTAATCGATAATTCTGATAAAAGAATAAGCACTAAATATTATTATTATTATTATTATTATTATTATTATTATTATTATTAT